TCAAAAAAGTGAGAGGAATGACGGGTGAGAGGAATGACGATTTCAACATTTTTTAATTTTATTTAATTGACAAATAATTTTCCTCCAGCTTAGAATGCCCTATCATGTTTATAAAGGATAACTTTATGTGAAAAAAATTTGCGATCAATTTATATATATTAATATTGTTTTTATTAGGGGTGAGAGGAATGACGCTTTAGGTTGTGAATCTCTGCTTATGTCTCAATTTTAATTTTTTTAACGCAAAATAATGACATTTTTTAAAAAGTAACTTAAGAAATTAATATTAGAGATGTTAATTTAAATATTGATCACAATAATTAATCAATATCTCTACGCACAGCAAAAATATTGGATAATATTCAACGAGTGAGAGGAATGACGCGGTACTACATGACAAATTTCATTTTCTATATTTAAAAAAACTACACGACATATTTTATTTATATTTTTGAAAATTATTCTTAAATATCATAACTTTTAGAAAAAATTAATAAAGTACCAATTTTCATGTTTTAAATAATTGTTTTACCTATTGAAAAAATGAAAAGCACTTAGATGACAGGTTAGAAAATCGATTTTGAGGTGGTAAAATATTTTAAAAATGTATTAAACAATAAAATTTTACAACTTTTTCTTGCAGAACATTTAGAAAAAGTGATAAAATAGGGAAATATGACTTGGTATTTTCCCAAATGATTATAATTATTTAGAAAATCTTGATTACATGTAAAATGAGGTTTTTTGGAGAATCACCCGTATACATATAAAATCTTTCAAATTTATTTTTTACATTTCAGAATACATTATTCTATTATAAAAATTGTTCTTTTAACTTAACAAAAGTTCTCATTTTTCAAATTGGTATAATTATTGAATTAATTATACAGCAAAAGTAGGTAAATAAATCAAAACATTCGGACCATTCTTTTAACATTATTTAATATATTTATTTAATGTATATTTATAATATATTAATTTAATATATGTATATTTACTTGTAATTATTTAATATAGTTAATTAATAATAAATTTTGTTTCATAATATTAGTAATTTACTATACCAGTCAGTACTTATTATGAGAAGTATTTGCATTATAATTGAAATACAGTTATATTTAAATTATTATTAATCATTAATAGAATAATTTCTTACTATAATGATTATTAATAATTTAAATTTAAAATTTATAAAAATTTCAATATTGCATTAATAATTCATTATTATTATAAATTATAATGTTAAATTAAATTAATATTAAATACTAAATTCATTTTAAATGCAGATATAATAATAATTATTATTAATCTGTATTCGTATTATAGTTTATGAAACATTCCAAATTGTAAAGTAAAGACTTAATTTATTATTGATTCAATTAATAATGTTAATTTTTATTAATTCACATAACCTATTATGACTAAATTGAAATATAATTAATTTATAAAAATTATTTAACAGTTTATTCTGATTTATTGATAATATTGGTAATTGAATTTTACTATTTTACAGTTGCTCTTTATATAGACAGTTGAATCCAGAAATATGTAAGTCGGTTCGGTAGTCGCAGTCGTTAGGGCAGTTAGTTTAGGCACTAGGTTAGGTCATGCGTCGGGGTTCGATCCCCGTATGTTCCAAATTTTAATTTAATTCCGGGAATTAGTTTCAAGTTGTTCTGTATGTAAACAAACTGATATTAATTAATAAAATATATTTTTTAAAATTAATTTTTTGCAACTTTTTGCATATTGTTTAAATAAATAAAACAGAAGTGGCTTAAAAATATGGTCAAAAATGAGATACAAATGGTCTCACATAGTCACCAATTATGGGCGTGGTCAACAAAGAGGAAGGGATAGTAGCAAACTTGTGACCACTTTAAACTTCCTCCTGATCAGTTGTGATAGATTTCTGACGAGATCCATCCAGAATCGTAAGAAAACTGGATTAAAGTGGTCAGGCGGCCTGACCATTTGTCTGACCATTCCTGATTTTATTTTTAGTAGGGACTCCTTTCACTTTCAGTGAAATTAATTTTTGTACAGGATCTTGACATCGTTTTTGATTGATTAATTATGGAAATTTCAAAAAGAATGGAAACTGCAAACCATTTTAATAATTACTTATTCTCATTTCTAAATGGAAGTGTACTAAGGAAAATGTCTCTTGAAGAATTGAAGCAACATGGTGCCGATTTGGGTTTAAAATATACAAAAGATTTAAATGCTTTAGACTTTTGTCAGGAACTTGAGGTGTTTTAATGCCAGGCTTCAGTTCTCCTGAAATCTTTAAATTTAGAAGAAATGAATGCTTTGAGTATACTGCAATTTATTTACTCTAACAATCTAGAAGATGCTTTTCCAAATTTATGTGTAGCATTACGCATATACTGTACACTTCCGACAACTTCTGCAAGCTGCAAAAGAAGTTTCAGTAAATTGAAATTGATAAAAAATTATCTACGCTCTTCTATGAGCCAAGAGAGGTTAACTGCGCTTGCCATTTTATCAATTGAGGGCAAATTTATGAATGAAATTGATCTAGAAGATTTGGTAGACAGGTTTGCTGAAAAAAAGCACGAAAAGTTCATTTTTAATCGTCTGAAAGTACTTATGTTTCTAATTATTTCGTTTAATGTATTACTACATTTAATTTTTATTACTTCAAATATATTTAAATACTTAATTTGAAATATAATGCTTTTAATATAGTCCTTTAACAGTAAAATACACAATGGGTTTAATTTGAACTATATTTTAAATTTGATTTAATAAGTACAATATTATTTAAATGATTAAAGAAAAGGGCGACGAATTGCATCCCTGCATCCCCTATAAAAATTTCTAGATCCGGCCCTGGCTAGATGTCAAGAATTGTAAGTCACCTGTGATACGATACAAGCATTATGCTACTAAGTAAAACCTTAAAAGTTAAAATGTTTTGTTATTTTAATTCTAGATTTAACTCTTAGAGATATTTTAAGCAATGTAAAGACAAAAGTTAAACACGGAGTCTATTTTTGTTTAACAAAATTTTCGGGTTTGTCCAAATTTTTCCCGGTTTATCAAATTTAAATTTACTTGATTTTAACCATAAATAAATCTACAAATGGCTACAAAAACTTACTTATTTTATAAAAATACTCTTTTTTAAGTTCATATAAATATATATATTGCATTACTAGTTGTCGTACCCGTATTCGACGGGTTTTTGTTTCTACTAATACATTTAACAGGGTGCCTACCAACCGGGAAAAATTGTGAATAAGATGGGAATATGTCAATTGGTGAATTTTCTTATCAAATTAAAAAAAAATTTCATTATATTAATTTGCTTTTAAAAAATTGCTTTTTATTTTAATTTTTATTGATGTAATATTTATGAAAACAGACCCGAGTCAAAAGCCCTTCTTTAGCCTACAACAGTGGCGGAACTACCATAGGGCAAACCGGGCGAAATCCTGAGGCCCCGCGATTAAGACGATTTAAATATGAAACTTAGATTATTATTAATTTTTTAAATTATTTTATTTATTTATTTTATTTATTATTATTTTTCATCACAGAAAAAAGATAGTATAAATTTTGTTGCGGGGAATTTTAACCAATGCTAATTCACATAGACAGTGGCGCCCTCACTTAGGGGAAAATTTGTTGCAGGGAATTTTTACCCCAAAATCAGGTTAAAATTTATACTTTTTCTTTCTTGTGATTTTATTAAATTAATAAATTATTATTGATATTTAATATAAACATATTTGAAACTAAAAATCTTGTTTAAGGGGGCAGTCTGGGTCTTTTGCACGTATTTTGAAGAATTTTTTTTTTCATAGTGAAATTTATTTAAAAACATTTTAAAATTTTTACATATTATTACACATATATTAAACTAAATAAAAAAAAAATTTTTTTCTATTTTTTTTGTTCTTAATAGCGAAGAATTGTCGACTTGAAAAAAAAATCTCAAAAATCTGGTTGGCATGATAGCTTTAGTCAGAACAGACGGAATCAAAAAATCCAAACGGATTAGTAAAATATAGGTAAGTGGTTACAGCCGGAACTAAAATAAAAAATTTTCATTGAAAAATAACAAAATGGTGGACTTTTTACTTTTTTAAACCTTCTTTTGCAACTAAAATTGTTTAAAAAACAGGTTAAAAATTATTTAAAAATTATGATTTTAGTTCCGGCTGTAACCACTTACCTATATTTTAATAAATCCGTTTGAATTTTTTTATTCCGTCTGTTCTGACTGAAGATATCATGTCAACCAGATTTTCGAGATTTTTTTTCAAGTCGCCATTTCTTCGCTATTAAGAACAAAAAAAATAGAAAAAAAATTTTTTTATTTAGTTTAATATATGTGTAATAATATGTAAAAATTTTTAAATGTTTAAATAAATTTGACTATGAAAAAAAATTCTTCAGAATACGTGCAAAAGACCCAGACTGCTGCCTTATATAAATTCTAAAGATAAAATTTTTACTTTAATAAATATTGTAATCATTGTATTGTCAAATTGTTATAATAAATTATACTAAAATTTTTATTTATGACTTTGAGTAAATATACTTTAAGCTTGTTATCTAGTCTCAATATTCTTCCATAAATATTTCTTACGACTAGAAAAACTTAATAAATGTTTTGAAAGAGAATCAGGAGTAATTTTTTTATTGCTGTAAGGTATTTGGTATTTCCCACTGTTAATCAAATTTCATTTCTACTAGTGGGCCCCAAGGCTTTACTCGCCCCAGGGCCCCGGCCTTTCTTGTTACGCTACTGGCCTACAATATAGGTTTTATTTTAGATATTAGCAGTCGTAACGTAGGGTTAATGGTAACAAATTATTTTTTTTTCCGGTCAAATTAAATTCTCGGTTTTACCGATTGATAGACACACTGTTAAATGCATAGGTAGAAACTAAAAACCGTCAAAGACGGGTACGACAGCTAGGAGTATATAAAACTGAAAAACTCAATATAAAAATATCTTTACTTACCTATTAGTACCGTAATAAATATGGAGCTAACAGAGTTTGTACTTTGCATCACACTTTTTAAATCTTTCATATATATAACATCGTTGTTGAGCGTTGGGTCAATTAAATTTATTAGTTTAACATTCTTCATAACAATTGGTTTACTTTTCCCCTGATCATTTTCTGCGTAAATAAATATTGTATATTCAAGTCCAGGTTTCAAATCACGTAACTGAAAGTTTGGTAGAATGTTTCTTTCTCTATAAATTGAATGTGTTTCTTCAAAAGCCTCTTGATCTCTTTGAGGTGTTAGTAACATTTGTCGTGTTTGCATAGGTTGATTACCAAGAATTGTCTCTCGAACATCCAGTACAAAATGTTGAGCTGAACCTTTTCCTGACCCAGGATTACAATTAACAACTAACGAATTCAAATCTTTATAAAATGTACAATTCATTGGAGGCTGAGGACGTTCTGAAAAATAAGAAAATTAGGTTCATGTTAAATTCTACCAATAGAATTTTCTTGTAACAGCAAGAAATAGAACAGCAGTATGTGTAATTAGGTTGAAATACAACCTATTAGAAATGTCTAGAAAAGGTGGTAGGTACATACAATATAATTGTAACTTGGAACAAATTTTGATTTTAATTTTAACTTTCGATGTAATCTGAATTCTGTCTATTGTTTCAGCGAGTTTCCCATGCAAATTTTGCGGCTTCATTCTTTTCTTGGCTTTGTATGTAGCGATATGAAATTACATAAAATTCAATTCAGATACTAAATTGAATAAAAAAATAATCAATGGAAGTAAAACAAAGAATACAAAAGTGCATTGAAAAATAAATTAGAATATCTTTCTAATTATGAGCATAAACAACACCGGGAACCAATTAGATGAGTTTTTCAATTTTAGTGTCCACCAAGAGATTTGAAATTAAAAATTTTTTAAAACTATCATTAATCAATCTTTTACGTCCGAGAAATAGTAATTATAGTGAAGGAGAATAAAACGAAAACATTCAGACAAAAAGTTTTTAAAAATTAGTTTACTCCAGCGTTTCGAAATCTAAATGATTTTCTCTTCAGCGAGTCTATAAAAATATAAAATAATATACAAAAATTATAAAATAATAAACATAATAAATAATATATTATTAATATATAATATGCAAAGAATATACAATAAAATATAAATTAATATATCTACAAAAAATAAAATAATATACAAAAAAGAATAAACTTAATGTTCGTCAATCAAAAAAATTATAAAATTTAAAAAAAAAATAAATTTAAAAAAAAAAATAATATTCTAACATTTATTCATAAATAGGGTAATGTCACATTGAGTGGACCGCCACTTTGAGTGGACCACTTGAGCTTTTAAGTTATCTGACAGCGGAAACGTGAAATAAATAAAACGAATAGCAGTACCGCACCTAGAAACCGTAAGAAATTATGTTCCGCGATAATCATATACGTTATTGTTTGATGTAACGCATTTTTAAGAACACAAACCAAAAAAGAAGTCGCTCTTACAATGAGTAAAGTGATTCGGAAGCGTAAAAGTAGTGCAAAATTTAAGTTTTAAAAGGTAACTTATTTTTTTCCTACTACGTTGGACATTGGAATTGATTGTCTTAGTTTAATTAAGTGATAATTTTGACTCAAAAAAAAATTTTGGTGTCTGCCATAAATAGTTGCATGTCACCATGAGTAGACCACTGTTTATAACCACGAGTGGACTGCCTGTTTTTTATATTTTTAATGTCAGTTTAACATTTTTATGGAAATAAATTGACAATAAATTGGTTTGAAACTGTTTTATGTTCTTTATTAATTTTTTTGTGATTTTGATGTGATATGTGCCAAAATTATTGAAAATGGTTTCACTTGTAAACATTGCGACACAAACATGGTCTGAAGCTGCATAAGCATAAATTTTGTTTCAATATATCAGAAATATTAAATACATTAAAGAATTTAGAATAACTTTTACAATTTTTTAAGAGTGGTCCACTCAAGGTTACACTTTTTTCATTCCTTAAAATGAGCTTTTTTTTTAAAGTCAATTGTTTTTCCCAAATAAAAAAAAATCAAAGCTATTATGGTATAAACACTTATCTAGGGATCTAAACTAAAGCTTGGGATAGAAACCTCCGATTAATTAGCTTTCATAAAGAATTTTTTGGAAAAGAAGCTTAGGCGGTCCACTCAAGGTGACATTACCCTAATATAAAGACTATAATAATACCTTACCAAAAAAATTAATAAATAAACATTCGTCATCAAAAAATAAAATTATATTCACCTATTAAACGTCAGAGAAAACATAGAGTTTGGAGTCATAATTAAGATAAATGAGAATCGAAATTATAATAAAGAATTTAGAATGAATAAAGTAAAATAAAATATCAAAATTTTAAATTAAAAACTGTAATAGTTACTTAATTAAAATAATAAATAAAATAATAAAAAATTAAGTTGAGAATAACATACCTATAAAAGATTATAAAACCAATTTTGTAATAAATAAAAAAATAAACATTAACATCATAGTTATTAAATAAATAAATTAACACTGATAAACATGGCCATTATGATGACACACATGGCGGTTTTCACGTCAAACGTCCATCCAAAAAAAAGTGTTAATGAATCAATCCCCAAATTTTTTATGAGTTGTCCTATAAGTAAGTAATTTATCAGCCAAATATTTTTGAATTTTATAAAAAATTATGAGAAGTGGACTGCCGTTTGAAATAAAAACTTAGTTAACTGACATTTATATCGAAACGAGAAAATAAGGAAAAACTGTTTGCTTTCAGAACCCTAATAAAAATTAAAAAATTGTTCAATTCAACTTCACATACTGGGTATATAATGATGGTGCTCTATTTAATTATGAAATAAAAAATTAATTATTTAAACAAATTATATGAAAAAATGCACTTGCGTGTTTTTCCGAATGCAAATATGAAGTAAAAAGTTAGGTAAAGTCCTTTGCGTAGTTGCTCAACAAAAATGTACGTGAGCTCGGTCCTCCGATTTGATGGAAAAACTTACCTAACTGACAGTGACGTCATGTGGTAGGGGGATGTCTGCTGCTGCTTGCGACCCGAGGATAAACCGAGTTTAGCCGAATGTAGTTAAGTAGTCGTTCGGCTTTGTCTCGACTGACTTTTTGATGGAAGAACTTAGGTAATTGCAAGCGTTGCAGATGCAAAGTTTTTATTTCAAATCCAACGCTCAGACTCGACTACTTATTTGATACAAAAAACACACAAATGCCTTTAACTAAGTTTTTCCTTCACATCTTACATTCGAGCTCGTAGCCTCGTTTGTTTTTTGGACTACGCAAAGTCCTTTCCTTAACTTTTTATCAAATATTCTTTCATTTTCTGCAATTTCTTACATTTTTAATATTAATTTTTTACAAACAATAATTTGCAAAAAAAATTTAAACTATAACTATTAGACGCAGTTTTTTCTTACGAGTTCATTGATACCAAAAACTCATTTTTCACCAAAATGTCAGTTAACTAAGTTTTTAGATCACACGGCAGTGGAGGGGTAGATGTTTTGAGTTTTGATGTGACACGCACTACTTCGTTTATTTATTGTATTTAAACGAAACGATGAAAAATAATTTTCGAATATGGTATCTATAGGTTTTTTCATAAGCTTTCGATTACCGTAGTCTATTTTAAAAAGTTTTTTGATTTTGACCAAAATTTTTGAAAATTAAGGATAAAATTTAATTTTTCTAATCTTCAGGCTCGTTTTTTTTTATTTTATTTTTATTGGAAAGCTGAGGTTTTTTCCCAAAAAATTGTTAATTTTCAAAAAACCGATTTTTTTTGTTTTCGAGAAATTAAATATTGAATACAGCGCGCCACGTTAGCGCGCGGACGCTCTGCGCTGCGCCGCTGTACTGTACGGTGCATAACGAACTTCAGATTACTGGCGATGGGTGTGTAAAGATTATAAAAGTTATAAAAGGTAGTTTGAACTTCTCTCTGCATTTTACAGGGTTGAGACTGCCATTAAAATAGTATAATGCCTGCATTACTATTATTTTTTTAATTTTGTATTTTTTTGTAGCCCTGCTTAGCAATATTTATTATTGCAGTTTTCTAATTTTTGTTTTTTATTTGGCGTAGGAAAATCATAATCTGAATTACTGCCTGTATCTACTTTTTCACAAGAAGGGTAAGAATTTATGAAGTGAGCCCCTAGTTTTCATTGGCTCGGTGAATTTTTCTCATTCTTATATGTTTCGATAGCGTTTGATAGTTTAATAAAAACCTGTAAATAGTTTTCCTAAGTTCGACTATTTGACAAAGTTATTTAAGGTCAAAATTATTTGTAGCGTTTTAGTAAATAGCTAATTACTCGCGATCGGATGAACCGATTTTAATAAAAATTGGAGGAGAGATTACCTGAGGAATTGTACTTTAGATAAATGATGAAAATTTTAATTAAAAAATAGAATTTGTTTAAATAAATTAACTTTTTAATTTTAGGGGTTAAAAAAAATTTATTCTCCATCTTTTTTTGGATTTTTTTTAATAATCAAATAGAGAATACTTTTATGATTTTATTTGAACAATAAAAAAGTAGGATTCTCTATCATTTTAGAAAATATAATATTTTTAGTTACAAAATTTTTTTAAAAGTTAAAGATATGTGAAGCAAAACGAATGAATTTGTGTCGATTTTATGCTTTTACGTATATAATTATGTATTATTGTTAATATGTAATTTTTTGGTCAAAGTTGTCGAGTTTAGTTTATTCATTTAATTTGCTTCAAATCTCTTTCACTTTTCAAAAATTTTTGTAACTAAAAATATTATATTTTCTAAAGTGATAGAGAATCCTACTTTTTTATTGTTCAAATAAAATCATAAAAGTATTCTCTATTTGATTATTAAAAAAAATTAAAAAAAATATGGAGAATGAATTTTTAACCCCAAAAATTAAAAAGTTAATTTTGTTAAACAAATTACATTTTTTAATTAGAATTTTGACCATTTATCTAAAGTACAATTCTTCAGGTAATTTCTTCTCCAATTTTTATTAAAATCGGTTTACCCAATCGCGAGTAGTTAACTATTTACTAAAACGCTACAAATAATTTTGACCTTAAATAACTTTGACAAATAGTCGAATTTTGGAAAACTATTTACAGGTTTTTATTATACCATCATACGCTATCGAAACATATAAGAATGAGAAAAATTCACCGACCCAATGAAGTTCAAACTACCTTTTATTAACTTTTATAATCTTTACACACCCATCGCCAGTAATCTGAAGTTCGTTATGCACCGTACAGTACAGCGGCGCAGCGCAGAGCGTCCCCGCGCTAACGTGGCGCGCTGTATTCAATATTTAATTTCTCGAAAACAAAAAAAATCGGTTTTCTGAAAATTAACAATTTTTTGGGAGAAAACCTCAGCTTTCCAATAAA